GCGGCGGCTCGGCGTCGAGGCAAAACCTGAAGCTCGATGGGCAAAGCAAAAAAAAAGACATGGAGGACTAGGTCCTCCAGTAGAGAGGTTGGAACAAGTTGGTACCAACTTTTGTCCGTAGTCTATTTTAGTAGGGGAACCCTCCCCCAAAAAGGGCAAGAGGGCACTACTGGGGGACCTAGAGGAGGTAACAGGTGAGGCTCAGGTAGGAGTCCTGAACAGAACCTGCAAATGCCAGGGAGTCCTAAACAGGATCAACCTTGAACATGTCGAGAACAAAGTGGGAAAGGCTCAGCACTTGTATGGCGGATTGAAGATGTTGACACAATTCTTGCAGATTTGGCAATTGGAGCCAGTGTCTTATAGCCCAAAAAAAGGGTACCGTCAAAAAACCACAGCCATATGTGCTTCTACGAGTGTACATAACTCTTGCCCAAATTGATCGCTGAGCCAGGTGAAGGTTTTCAGCGGCCCTCACTTAGGACCCCCAAAAAACCCGTGGGGAACCTTTGGGGCATTTTATGGTCAGGCTTCGTCGAACCAAAATAATTGCCCTACCCGAGTTTATTCCACGGACATCTACGGGACCGGTGGAGTTCCATGGAAATCGGTTGGCACCCTTTGGTAGCTAGGTCCTCCAGTGGAGAGGGCGGAATAAGTCGGTACCCGTTTTTTTCTTCTTTCTTTTCTGTTTCGGTAGTCTATTTGAGTAAGGGACCCCTCCAAACCAAACAAGGATGGAGAAATGGCACCAATGGCTGGGCCGCACCATAGCCTCCGAGAAAAAGACGAGCCCAGGCATCGAGACCCAAACCAGGCCTCGCCTATCTGGGATGGACCAAATCCAGAGCTTGCTGGGGGGAAAGCAAACTGGCCATGGGTCAATAAAACATGTACAACAATGGCACCTTGGAAAAGGAAAAGCCAAAGACTACACCCTGCGTAGCCCTACCTGGAGTCTCCATGACCCCCAAAAAAATGGGTCCATGACCCCGGCACTGACCCCGCTTTTCAAGGGTCATGGAGGCTCCAGGTAGCTCTTTCCTTTTGAGCCACCAACTGGGAACCCTGCAGTGGCCGTCATGACCTTTTGCAGCCAAGGCACGCGGGCTTCGCCTCAGCCTCCGGCAGCGCAGGCGGCGGCCGGAACTTCTTGCCGCGGCTCGGCCGGGCGCGCGCCGCGTGCGCCGCCCGCTCCGGGATCGCCGCGGGGGCCCCTGGCGGACATGTTGAAGTCGAAACACAGCCTTTGGGTTACAAGTAAACAACCCCTGGATTTGACCCAACAAATGCGTGTCAACAACAATCCCTGGGCTTTACCCAGACAAAAAAGGCGTGGCTTCCTTGTGGTGTCCCTTTCAAGCCATGTCGCCCCACTCATGGGTACAACTGACTCACTCCAAGCATGGGCCCTGAACCTGTCTCATGACAGCCGTGTCACAGCCCGACTTGCTTTTGGGGTCTCGATAACCGTCTTTTTGCGTTGTTTTCGTGGTTGCCAAGGAGAAAAAATGTTCACCCTTCGGGAAGGTCGACTCTTGAGAAGCTGGGAAGCTGCTAAGATTTGGGAAGCCTCTGAAACCCAAAGTCGTGAAAGAGAAACCACCTGTTGCTGACTGAGAAACTCCCAAAACCGTCAAGACACTGGCTTCACAAGTCTGAGCGTCCCTGGTCCGTTTTTGCATTCATCTACTTTTTGTGCATTAGACTGCAACCTGACGTTTCCAGGGTTCTGGTTTGAACTCATCTTCTTTTTGGGACCCTCTAGTGAGAGTAACTTCCATTTGCTTAAGCCTCCTGGGATTAAAAATAAACTATTTCCAGTAGTGATCGATTCCCTTTGAAACTAACAGGGGAAAAAGGAAGAAGAAACAAAACATAATCTCAACTGGGCAGCCCTCAGATCCCCCGCTACAAGTGACTAACGCTTCGTGGGTGAGATGAATTGAAACTACCACAAAAAACTAAAGAGCTCAAAGGCTAAGGAAGCTGAGGGCTGGCTGCGCCAGATGAAGCTGAAGCCTGACGGCACCTGTCCTGGCGACTGCACCGCGCTCGGCACCTCGAGGCGCGAGCCGAGAGAATCCGCGAGCGGAGGTCCATGCCGAAGACTTCGCTCACTTCTGGGGTGGATTGGCCAGAAACGAACGGACAACTGGTGGTTTGCCGCTGACATGGTCTTCCCCAAAAACCTTCAAGTTTTCCGGGAACTCAGGGAGTGAGTCTATGGAACCCAGTTGTTCCGAACAGCGGTTCGTTTGAGCAACCCAGCACTGGGCTGGAGCAAGCCAGTGGGCTCAAACTTAGCAAGGCAGCAACCATGGGATAGAACCGGGGGGGTAACTGGAGTTCGTCCCCTACCAATGGCTTAGTCCCTTACTCAGAGGCTTGAACACCCAAGCACAGGGGTCTCTACAACTCTATGGGAAGTAAGGACGTGAGAAGGAAACAGATCCTGTTCGTAACCGCCCATCCCCACGCTTTGGCTTGGCATCTTATAGAAAGAATCGGATTGCACCGTCGAAAGGTTGCAAGGCCTTTCTTGGCAGAAAGGGCCGCAAGCATCCCTTTTTCAGCCGCCCCAATGGGTTCAAACAGTCCTTTTGGTGTCCCTTTCAAGCAGAAACCAAGGGTCTACCTGCTTCAACCGAGCTTGCAAGCCCCTGCCCTCTCAAAAACATTCATTCAAGCATGTTTAAAATGGAGAAGGCACTCGCCGTTTAGCCACGGAGCAGCTTTTAGGGTCCAGAAGCTGGTTTTGCTCTTTGCTCGCTGCTTACTTCCCAGATCCAAGTAAGAGGGCTGAGGCAAAAGGAGCCAGGAGCCACGTCTTGTTCGACCCTCAGCCCTCTTCAAGGACCTCCGCAGTGGAATGCTACAGGCAAAACCACCCATGTGGCAGGGAGTCTGCATTCAATCGACTCATGACAAACATTGACATGCACGGACCAATGTGGAACATCACCTGTCTGTAAATGGGTGATTCTTTGACTACTTGCTTACGGTGAATTCCCTAATTAGAACAAACAGTGGCCAGGGCGAAAGCAAATGCCACATGTTTGTTCCTTCCCCGAGCTTCTACCCTGCTCAGTGACTCTTCGCTTGTTGGGTTTCCCCCACAAACTCAGCTTCCCAGTGGCTGGTTTGGAGTGGTTCGGAAGCTAGGGGGGTAGCTTCCACTTACCCTCCACCATACTGTGGATGGACGAAATCCTGCACCACTTGGAAATCATGGTTGAAATCATTGCTTGTAGTTATTCGCAGGGGAATCATCATTCCAGGGTTTCTTAGGTGGTGCAGGATTTCGTCCATCCACAGTAGGTTCAACTAGAGCTTACTTTTTGGGGCTAACCCTCAATAGGGTTCCACTCTCCCGAGCTGAGGCCAAGCGCGGCTTCCTTCGCCTGAGATCTCTCAGTGGTAACCAGTGGCCCATGAGGCCAAAGAGACATATTTTCAGAAAATCGAATACCAGAAACATAATTTCAGACAAAGTACACCTACGTGCCAGAGTGAGCGAATCCCTTTAAAAAAACCACCAGGGGAGTTAACCAAAGAAAACACACATTCAGCAAATAAACGGATTTCGTCTACTTTAGACCTTTGTCTGGAGGAACCCCCAGTTACCCACTTAGGGCCCTACAAGTGCTAAAATAGGAGCTACAACCGTGTTACTACCTACTTGTGCACCAATTGTTGGTACCTCCTTAAAGCACCACTTTCGGTACGGTACCTCCTTAAACGAATTGCCCACTTCTCTGGGCCCGTTTTCAGATCCCCCGCTAAAAGTGCCCAACTTTTAGTGGGTGAAATGAATCGAAACTACCACTAAACACGAATCAAAAGCCCACAAAAGCTGAGGAACCGGAGCTTGCCGTACCTTAAGCCCCACTTGGTCTCGAGCCCCGCTTCGGGAGCTCCCGTCGGCTCGCTTGTTAAACCCGAATCCGGGCACGTTTTTCAGCGACGCGACCAGAATCTGTGTGTCTTTTTTCGGGGGGGCTCAAACTGGTGGGTTTTCGGTGGATTTCCCTTACCACAAAGGGTATCACACAGAGACACGTCCATTTTGTCTCACAATCCGAGTTAACCCAAAAAGATAAGGCTATGTTGATGCCCTACAAACGGTCACACTCACATACATGAAAGCCCGGCAAGGAAGTCCAACGAGGAAACGCGAGGAGACTATTGAGCCACAATACCACCCTCCTCCGCAACCTGCAACTGATAGCGGACTGTCAGTAAGACTCCTAGGTGCTCATTTGTGAAGATCGATGTGTGTATATATATATATATATATCGGTACACATAAACATACACACCAAAGCCTAGGAGGTTCATGGCGCCCAGTGTGGATCTGCCTCTGTCCGCGCAGTTTGTCCTTTGGGGTTGGGGTCCGCTGAGACAAACCTCATATCTTCTAGGTCCTCCAGTAGAGCGGTTAGAAGCAGGGTACCAACTTTTCTCCGTTGTCCATTCTAGTAGGGGAACCCTCCCAACCGAAAAGGGGTTCAGAAGGGCACCTAGCTGGGGACACCTAGTCTTCGACATATTTCGCCGAAGAGAAACGCGCTGTCCAGTCCCCCTTCACGCCCAAAAGCCTGAGTCATGCGTGCATGGGTAAACACATCTCCAACAAAATCTGCACTAGGCACGGCATCTTCTGTGCAGAAGTTTTTCTCTCTCTCTCTCTGTAATTAGTTTGGAGGGCGTGGTTCAACAAACGCCTCTATGGTGTGTGTTTTCCAGGGAATGCCCTGTTGCGTTTTTCAAGGAATACCTTTTGCGGACCCTGTTTGGGGCTTCCGGGCAACCCAAAAGCACACCACCGTTGAGCGTCCATGGAAAGAGCGGGTCTCGCTTTCCTCGAGCTGCTCGCCTTCCTGCGGGACATCGCTGCGATCATCGGAGCTTGTGCACCGTGCCGTGCACATGCGACGCCTCGCAGGCCCGAGATGGTTCTTGCCACGCACTCGTGGCGGAGTCTCGTCCCGCGCAAAACGGTTGGGACATCGCTGATCATCGGAGGTTGCGCACCGTGCATGCGACGCCTCTCGGTCCAGAACGTTGTGCACCCCTTCCGCCTTGTCGAGAACTCCCATGTGTCACTCCGCTATTGAAGGAAGCAGTGCGACGTCAGTCTCATCCTGATCGAATCGTTTTTCCACAGGCAAAATCAGATCAAGAAGCCTGAAATGAAAGCAATAAAACAAAATCCGATCATGTTTGGGGGGAGGACTTCACTGTTGTTGGCATGTGTTTTGGTCATAGTTGTGTTGGTTCGGTTTATTTTGTTTAGTGGGCAGTGAAAGTGGGTTGCTACCCTTCCAAGGGTTGGACATGAAAAGCCATTTTGTTTGTTTTTTCGGGAACTGACCGAAGGGTGGGGGGGTTTGGGGCAAAACAATGGACCTTTTCAACCTGGACAACTCCTCGCTCCAAAAACGGCGGCTACTTTTGACCTCCCGCCTACCTTCCCCACTTCCCCTTCCCCCCTGTGCGAGAGTCTCTATGATTCGTGAACAATTTGGCAGTTGTCTCAGAGCATGTAGGTGCAAACGGGGTGTTTGACGCAGGGCTCTTTTTGGGAAAGCGCCTGAGGCATCCTCCCCATGAAAAGACGAGAGATCCCCAAAAAGGAGAAGGTATTGAATTCAGCTTGCGGTATCCCATCCTGTTCAACCAAAAAAAACAAGTGGACAGAAGCACATTGACTGGAAACCCGATCTTGCCATTGTCCCATGGATGTTTGGTTCAATTGGGTGGATCCTTGCTGGTGATCCTGATCCTGGTTCTATTGAATGGAGATTCGGCAACCCTTCCCATATACAGCAGGAAATGGTTACATCATGGCTTGGTGGATCTACGACCACGGGTTGCCCTGCTCCAGTCTTCATCGCTTATGTTTCGGCCAAATCAGGCTTTGCTACAGCAGAAGCCGAAGCATTTCGCCTTTTCAGCTTCCCAATTGGTGGCTTGGATTCGTGGTTTGGGGTGGTTGAGGAGTTTCCCATTTTCCCTCCACAAGAAGCTGCTCAAATCCCCAAACCACCCAATCCAAACGACTGAAGACGGGTATTGCTTCAACAATCCCAAGACCTGCAGGCAGAGAACCCCGGAAAGGACCTATGGTGAACTCCTCTCGGCAGGTGCGCTCGCCATAACATGGGTAAGTCTCTCCCTCGAACCCCCCCCCAACCGGGAGGTTCCGCCTGCTGAAGCAGCTTTAACTTGGGTGCTGCTGACCCCTCTGCAAAAAGTTCAGCTTTCCGCAGGTCAACGGGAAATGTGAGGGGTATCCAAAAAGTTAAAGTCTAAAAATCCAACCCAATGGCAGTAGAGTCAAGGAGAAACAACAGAGGTTGGTTGACTTATTTCACCATGGTTCTATCCTACTCTCACCTCCCGAGCCATTTAAGCGACAACCAGCGAACTAAAGCTTGTGTGGCCAGTCATGGGAACTGAGTACTGGGGGCTGGAGAATTACCAGCCATATTCTCCGGGGATCATGAACAAAATATGGCTTTGACATATCCCGGCAACCCCATTTCTCACATCCTGAGTGGATTGGCCAAAAAAGTATAAATTGGTTGTTTACCATTACCTAGGCCCCTATTTTACGAAGTATTTTGAACATCTAACATGAGCGCTTCACGCTGGGCACCCAGCGTGAAGAACGCCCGGCGGCAGCAAGGCGCGAAAGCGCGCTGGAACCTACTTGTTTGGCGTTTCTCCGGAGTGCAATCAGCAGGCTTGGGGTAGGGCGTGGCGCAAAATTTACGAAGGGTTGCAAAGGTGTTGGTCTTTGTTTCAATTTGCCAGGTCATTTTAGATTCCAATTTGTGAGCCACAAACACTTAGTCTCGGGAAAGTTGTAAGGAACCCATAAATGCCAATTTTCCAAAGGTGGTTTGGTACCTTCCAGGATTGGACCCACAGAAGAATAAGGTGGTTGGGGGGCTATTCCCCATATATTTTGGGTGAATTCGGCCGTGTGAGGTCGTGAAAAAATCCACCCAGAAGAATTGGAAAATGGAACTAGAACTGGAACTCCAAACCTACCCTCCCCCAATCTCATTCTCCACTGGATGGCCGGTGGCCTGTCCAACTTGGATGTTCAATCCGGGTTAGGCCATGGTAGGGCTGTAAGTCTGAGCTATTTCTCTTGGTGGCTCCCAGCCATCCCCTTAGCTTTTTAGCCTTTTACTGTTTAGCGTTAGTTTCCATTTAACCCACTAAAAGTTAAACTTTAGCGGGGAATCTGAGGGCAGCCCAAGTCTTATAAGCCTAGGTCCTCCAGTGGAGAGGTTAGAATAAGGGTACCAACTTTTTCTGTAGTCTATTTTAGTAGGGGAACCCTCCCCCAAAAAAGGGTAAAAGGGCACTACTGGGGGACCTAGTACCACGCTACCTGAGGGCCAACCATCGCCAAGGCAAGATCTGGACGAAAGAAATTGACCCAAAGGGGGAAACCAATTTCGTTCAGATCAGGGCGATTCGCTTGGAAGAAGTGAGTTCAGGTAACCTTCTGGTCTGGGGATGCTGGTTGGGGTGGGACCCACCGATTTCGGGCCGAAGGATTTCCGTGGCCCTGAACGGAAGCGAAGTTCTCGGCGATGCACAACTTCCATTTTGTTAAGCTCCAGGAAAAAAATCCATGATGAATTCTTTCAAAACCAACAACGGGCAAAAAACATTCTTAAGCAAATGGAGGACAAGTGGGTTGATAGACATGACCCCCCAATTTTGATGTCCACCAAGGAGCCCCCGGTTAAAGTTCCGAGGTATCTCGGCTGCTGCTTCGAATTTAAGCCTTGCCGAGAAGCCTTTTGCGTTGGGCCCTTATATCTTGGCAGCCGCCTGCCACATTTCTTCACACCGGCCCGTTCGTCTCTCCAATAAGGCTTCGAGAAGGAAATCCCCAAAATTCCGTTTGACCCTTAGACTGGCGCGACAATGGACCATTGGTGGGGCACCAAACGGATGAGGATTCCCTGCGAACTCGTGAGGACCAGCTCTTGATTTCGAGCCGGCGAGCCATCCTTCCCTTCAATCCCCCTCCTCATGCAGAGCCAGCAAGCATTTCAGGCCAAGGACGCCGTTGGGGAATGTTTCTGATCTCGTATGGCAGTGTTCTTGCCAGTCTTGCACCACAACTCTTGCCCGTGCCAATGACACGGTCTTCTGAGACAACACCCACCTGGGCGACCTTGACATTCTTTTCCTTGGCCAGCTTGCGTCCCTCTTTCTCTGGCACCGCATCGCCAACTCCAAAGGACGGCAACTGCCCCATCTTTATTTTCATTGCCTGATGCACCTGTTCATCATCCAAAGGCTTGCCTGTCAACTCGTGGCCTCAGTGGTCATTCTCGCAGTGAAGCCTCTAAGTTTTCACCCTTCATCTTGAACATCCCCGGTGCGGACCTGAATGATCCGATGACACCCACACCCCAGACCACTACCTCCGAGAAAAACCGCTGTGCGTGATGGCCTACGCAGTGGTTCTTTCATGTGGAGGGTCATGGTCGGGGCTAATGTCAACCCCGGATTAAGCAGAACCCCTGGTCTATTTTGATTAGGGGCTGTCCCCGTTTAGTGGGGATTCAGACCACTTTTGGAGGGAACACCCCGGACGAGTTTATTAATCCTCGGTCAACATAGTGGAAACTGCCAGTTCTACTCATCAAGCTGTCTGAAGGAGTTTACCCACAGCCTGTCAAAGACTTCAATTGGACATCATGGGACTGTCCCCAATTCCAAGCTTACCCGGTCACCCGTCTCTCACCGAGCAAGAATACGAAACCCTATGCCAGCCATCGCAGGGAGCCATCATCATCAAGGCCCACTAAAGGCTATGTCCCTCCCATGCACGTCCTTCACAAGCCAATGGCGCGAAGCAAACTCTATTTATCGTAGACTATCTGGACGTATGCATACTCTTCTTAGCATCTGAAGTTACATATATCTCCATATGAACATACGCCTCGAACTAGCCCAAAGGACCGCGGACCTTTTGGAACCGAACCTTGACTAAACATGGACCAAAGGCAAACCAAAAGGTCCGCTTTGGTCAACTAATTTGTATACAGAATACACGTAGAATTCATTGGGGGCAGTACTTTGGGGAAGCACCTGACACCCAGACCATAAAAGGCCGCCGTACGCCGCTGGGTTGCCGCACGCATCGTTGCTGAAGTACAACCCAGCCTTGCGCTTGGCGGACTCAGCGGCGTCAAAACAACAAATCAAACTGGCCTTGCCAAATCACCGAACATGGGACCTAACCTCATTTCCGACTATGGAACTGGGTGACCTAAAATTGGATCTGCAAACCAGCTTGGAAAAGAGGAAAGCGGGGGGGCTACCTTCTCAAAACTGCACTAAAGGCATCTGTGGGAGTGCATTTCTCCGTGACTTTGATGGGTCTGTTCTTTCGTTTTGAATAATGTTGAATGGAACTTCTTAATGAATCAGCGCGTTTCCAATTTGCTTTACAATCCTTGGTTGCTGTTGACCCCCCTGCAAAAAGTTTAACTTTTTTGGGGTTTAGTGGAGAACCCCTTTATTTCCCAGAAGGTTAAAGTCTAATTTTTAAAATTCAATAGCAGTCAAGAATCCGTCAAACTATCACCAGCCAGCATCCCTGGCATCACCAGCATCCCCAGCCAGCATCTCCAGCATTACCAGCCGGCAGCCCGGCTGCCAAGCGCAAGTCTTTCCCCACGATTGTCCATGCCACCCAAAACCCTTGCATGACCCGCAGATGAAAAGCAGTGTCTTGCCCATGTCGCTCCCAATCATTGCAACCGAACGTAAGACAACCAAACACGCCCTTCAAAGGAAAATAAAAAACAAAAAACGAGCCGTGCAATTCAATCCAAGTTGCGTTGCAAAGCTAACACGTAATCCTCCAGCCCTGCGCATCCAACCAACCAACTTTCCTGAAGGACTAGCCCAACGGCAAAGTACTTGGCGATCCGAGAGGTCTTTACCCCAAGGTAGACCATAAGAATCGCTTGAAAAATCGGTTGGCATGTCAACACAATGTCTTGCACATGAAAAGCAGAGTCTTGCCGCGGTCGCTCCCAAGAATTTCACCAAAGTTGAGACAAACCAAACATGGCCACGTTACAATCTCCAAGAGAGCCTCGAGCCGTCCGAACTAATCCAACCAGCCCAACCAACCTTACTTAAAGACTATCCCAACGTCAAAATTCCTGGCGGGAGCCAGCCAGCATCCCTAGAATCACCAGCCAGCACCCTCCTAGCCAGCATTTCCCTCATGCCCAACCTCCCCAACATCCCCAGCCAGCGCGCTAGCGACAAGAAAACTGCTAGAATCGGAGGCCCCCAAAAAAACCAACGTCACGAGGAGAAACACACTGCATATATGCAATTCCAGCATCCCCGGCATCAGCTCGGCATCTGCTTTGCAAATTACCTAAAGGTCGCTCTTTCCGTCATTTTGCTCGGGACTCGCCCCGCCTATTTTAACCCCAATGTCCTCCAACCTACAGACAACCAACCCTAGTACACCCGCTAGGGTGAAGCCAGCCATCTGACAACCGCGGCTTCAGTGAACTTCTGCCCAACATCAAATATCTTTGGAGACCCCAGGTTCGGACCTTCCCCGGTGGTTTGAGTAGGGGGGTGCGCGCGAAAACGAACCGGGGCGCAAAATCGGAAACCACTTTCTTAGGGGTGCCCAGCTGCTCAAAACAAAACAAATCCAAAGCAAGGTTCGGTTTTTAACAGAAGCCGAAAGGCAAATGGGCGTGGATTTTTCAGGGCGCCCTTTGTGGGTTGGGTTGAAAGGGAAGCCAAGAAGGAAGCATTTTGGGGGCTGCCCTGAACAAATGACACCCAAATTCTCCCCGCGCTCCAAGCCTCAAATACAAGCGCATCATGTTGTCCGGAGTTGACTTCCATTTGGTTAAGACCCCTGCAAAAAATAAGAATATGTCCAGTTGTGAATTCGATTCCCTTGAAAAGCAACAGGCAAAAGGAAAACAATCTGCATTTCAGTAAATGGAAAATTGAACTTTGAGGTCTTCACACCCCGCATCTAGGCATCGTGGATTTCCTCAAGGCCCAGGCGATTTCCATGGGACTGTTCTAGGTCTTTCCAAGGTTTGCAGCCCAAGAAACCCGAGGGTAAAAAGATCTACCCTTTCCTAAGCAGACTTTCTGGTTGATGTTGGTTTGGTTTGGTGTGCCCTTCTGGAAGGTGAGTCGCAATCAAAACCGATCGGTACTAAGATGGTAGTAATCCCAGAACCATGCTTCAAGGATTAAGAAGCCGGAGATCCACGGCTATTTATGGCAAGGGGATCGTCCCTTACTAAGCTTCATCCAGTCGGGTTTTGGTTGTGGCTCAGGTGGGCTTGCTTTCGGTCCGTTTTCAGCTTGCTGGTGCTGAGTAGGGAATGAGAAATGGCATGGCCCCGACTGGTTTCCGTTTTCCGGGGACCAAAGCCTGGGTTCATTCCATCTCTCATCCCCTACCTATCCCACCAGCAAGGTTTCAGGGTGGAGCAAGTTCGTTGGTCGCCCAATGTCAGAAAATCGGCGGGGTGTTCCCAACTTCCGCCCAGCCGCGGTGGCGATTCCGCGTGCATCGCGCCCGCCGCGCCTAGCTCGAGTCGCCGACACATGGACGGCGAGAACCCAAAACCTAACCCTTTGGTTGACATCATGGACATGGAGATTTATGTGCACCAACCAGTTTTGAGGTTCCTCACCTGTTTTTCAATCCTGGCCTGTTGAGTGCCACCTTGCGTAAGAACAAACTTGATCATGACCAGGGAATTAACACCCCCAGTAGCCAGGGTGAGAGCTTGATCGCTTGCAAACGGAAGCCAAAAGAAAGTTACAGTTCTAGAGCAGTTGTGCTGCAGAAAGCGCACAAGGCATGAGCACTTTCTGGACGCAACGTCCCTGCAACAAATCCAAATTGCAGGGACACACAGACACAAACACATACCTTGCAAAACACACACACACACACACACACACTCTCACAAACAGCAAAAGCAAGCAAGCGGCCAACACATGAAACCATCCTGCCCCAGACATGCCCCCTCTGCATTCGTGGATGCATGAATCTGGGGTTGGGCTTTTGGAGAATGCTTCAATAAAGCAAAGGGAAAGAAACACGTGGCTCACATTCAAAGGTTCCGTTTGAGGGGACAAAATGGGCCCATCCTTTTTGTCGGGACTCCAAAACGACACCAACAAGAATCTAAGAAGGGCACCCCAAAAAAACACCGGACACCACCCAGGAATGGAGAAAAAGACCCTCTCAAAGGCACAGGGCGTGCCCTGTGCCCTGTGCCCGTGTTTTTGATGCTTCAGGTTTCCACTCTCTTGTTGACGACTCATTTGCACTAAAGTACCCAAATCCAAAAAGGGTGAACCTTTTAGGGCGCTCGAAATGCACCAAACATGAAGCAGCAAAAGTTCAACGAGCCTCGTGCAGGTTGCTGTGCTTGCTGATCTTCCTCGCGCTGGGCAGCAATAGGTATTGGAGTCCCAAGAAAAAACCCTCTAATCAAAAGGTGCTGTCTAGGTCCTCCAGTAGAGAGGTTAGAATAAGGCTGCCAACTTTTTTCTGTAGCCTGTGTTAGTAGGGGAACCCTCCCAACCCAAAAAAGTTGGGTGAGAAGGGCACTACTGGGGGGCCTAGTTGTTGTTTGCTCTGCAACATAGAACCCAAGCGGGGTCCAAATCCCAAGAGCTTTGTTCCAGGGGAAGTGGTTTGGGTTGCTCTGAAGTACTGTGGATGGACGAAATCCATTTCGCACCACCTAAGAAACCCTGGTGTCTGATGATTCCCCTGGTAAATACCAACAAAACGTTATGGTTTCCACAATGGTTTCCTTTCGTGGTGCAATTTCTGGATTTCACTTTTCCATCCACAGTATCACCCTCCGTTCACTTCCAAGGGATCCTGCCGTGTGGGGTAGCTCCAACGTACCCAGCTTTGTACCGGGAAATGGTTGAGTCGAAGAACTTCGGGGTGATCCGTGGGATCGTGTTAGGAGGCATTTTAGGACTTCCGATGTTCGATTTTCGGAACCCAGATTCAGCAACCTGGCGGATGAAGTGGGGTTCCACTCAATCCTCTGATCCCAGAAACATTTCGGGTGCCTTGGGCGGGGCCGCCGGGTTGAGTTGGGCCAGCTTCCAGTTTGGGTTTGGGGGTTCGTGCAGCGTGCTCTGAGTGTTTGACTCTGCTGTGAACACAGGGTGTTCGGTCTGGCCAATGATCAAGAATTGGCAGTGGCTCAAAGAAAATGTACCAGAATGACACCTTGGTAAATGGAAGCAAAGACTAAACCCGCGTAGCCCTAGCTCTTGAATTTCAAGCCACAAATCGATCATGTTGCACAAGGTTGCAAGGTTGAGAAACGTCGAAAAGTTCAGACCAAGGATACTGGCAGAAACATCGCCAAAGCGTAACCCCTGAAGAAGGTCGAAAAGAGGCTCAGCCTCATCTTGCTTGTCCTGAGGGAATATGGACATGACCCCTTCCAATCGTTTCCTGAGTAGATTGGCGAAACAATGCCCAACCTGCTTGTTTTCCACCAGAATTGTCTTCCCAACAAGTGTACAGTCTAGGGACTCGGTAATTGAGCCACTCATACATTCAAACCCTGCAGCCTGCAGGGACACCCGGTGAGGTCCGAACACCTCTCTTTACCACTGCCAGCACCATGCCTCCCTGCCGTCTTTCAGGACACTTGTCCCGCGCTTTTTTTGCCGTCAGGCCTGCGAGCCCACGGCTTCCCGTTTTGGGCACCCAATTCAAGCTTCTGTCCTCAGTGATTCCATGTACTGCAGGTACGGCAACCCTCTAAACGCCAAGAGGAAGATGGCTCCTATAGGGGTAACTGGGATCCGTGTCGATCATCGCTGAGGAACGGCGAAAAGGGTCGCAACCCCGATCACTGGCTGCAGGCTCCAAGCACAGAATCTCAAACTTTCCTTCCAGCTTTGCCATGTCCAAAGGAGTCGTCTTGCTGATGCTGGCCTCGTTCTTGTCAGCGCCGCTTCTGGCAAACAATGTGCCACCTACACATTGCCGTTGTCAACCGCCAAATGCAAAGGCGTGCACCCATTGTTGTTGTCCTGCTTGTCCTTCAGGGTTCCCAAACACATCCAAACACCGCCTCGTTCATGAAGGCCCCAATGAACTGCTGGAAAGTGTGCTCAAGTGTATCCCACTTGCCTGTCCTTGTCAGCACCAAACTCATAGCAAGCAGCACACGGATTCTGGATGACCATGTGCAGCGCCGAAATGCAAAGGTGTGCGCTCATCGCTATCCGGCTTGTCCTTGTGAGCGCCGGCATCCAGCAAGCACCGCACATCCCGAACACGTCCCCCTGCTACCCAAGGAAGCCCGCTGAAACAATGCTCAACGTGTTTGATGTGAATCTGATTCCAAGAAAGCGAGCGTTTCCGGAGAGTTCTTCCGAAAGGCTGGAAAGCGCTTCTTGCTGTTGGCAATCTTCAATAAAACCAATAATAAAAGCAGGTGATTGCATTCGAAAGAAAAGATAACTTGAATTCAACAATTCTCACTCATTTCTTCCCAATCTCATCCATGCATTTCCGGTCCATTAAAGATGGCGGCCAACAGACCAGTCCCAGATAGGCTAGTAAAAGATTCGACAAGTGCTGGCCACCTAACATCCTAGCTTTTATCTTTGAAGTCAACTTTAGGAGCTAACCGATGGCGACTTAAGGGAGAGAAATGTATCTCGAACATTCCTTTCCTGGATCCATGCCGCTGTTGGCTCACGACGGGCCATGCAAATAACCAATCAACTTGGCAGCCAGGTGGCAGCTTGAATGCTCGGGGGCGCTTGAAAGCAGCGCATCACCGCCTAACAGAATGGCGAAGGAAAGCCGCATGAGCTCAAAACAAGACACCTCGCCCAAAATGGCAGGGGCCGGCGCCAAAAAGAAAACATGGCTCAAAAAGGGGAAGCATTGGA